TTCTTCCAAGTAAATACTTAAAAGTAATTTTATTCAAAAATTAGTACTTAGACTTTAATTTCATTCATTGTTTTGGTATCTTCAATCTTTTTCAAAATTTATTTAAAGAAAAACACAAATGACAACATCAAGAAAAAGGGTAAATTACGTGTTTAGTATCTTAACTATCAGTTTTGATTCATTTTAGTATATACACTTTTAAGTTTTTTCAAAATTTTACTTAAATTTTAGTTTTTGTTTCATTTTAGTACTTTATTCAAAATTTAACGTAAATTTTGATTTCTTTTTAAAGTTTAGGTACTAAAATAAACCAAAACCAATAGTTTAGGTACTAAACGCGTTAAGTTTTTAACTACTGATACTAAAATGAAACAAAAACTAAACGTTAGATATTATTTTGGAAAATAAATTAAAGGTTTATGTACTAAAACGGATAAAAACTAATAGTTTAAGTACTAAATGCGTAGTTTACCCTAAAATTAAATGCCAACTTAAGACAAAAAAAACTTTATTCAAATACCAAACGTATATTTTATATTATATAAAGTCCCATTGTGGGCACCATTGTATTTTATGTGTAAAGCTGGTGAGTAAGTCACCTACTCTTAATTTATGTGGATTTGCCTTCCATTTGAAGAAATCAAATGTTGTTATCCTTTGTATGTTCAATGAAAAGGATACGAAAATGTATGCCTAATATTTTAATAATTCGATTGTTTTTTTAATTAAATAAAGATGGAGGGTTACTAATGATGTCTTGGTTCAATGTTAAAGATTGAGATCCTTAAAACTTTGAAGTCTCAGCTTTAAGTCTCACAATATTTTTTTTCGGATTGAATTTGACATCGTCGCGACTAATAATGATGACGTTTATCTGTTATCTTGTTAATCTTCTATGCTTTGGACATTCGAATCGGATTTGGATACGCGTTTTGCTTTCGTGGATAGTATTTTCACATTGCTCGATTTTGATTTGCAATTTTCCTCAGGGTTTTCAATAGCTTCATTTCTTTTTGTAGTTCACTTTTCGATGCAGTTAGATTTGTTCGTATCTATCTTTTGTTCGAGTTTAATTGGAGCTTTAGGTCACAATATATTTTTTCGGGGTTGAATTTGATATCGTCACGACTGATAAAAATGATATTTATCTGTTATCTTGTTGATCTTCTATGATTTGGACCCTCGAATCGGATTTGGATACGCGATTTACGTTCGTGGATAGTATTTTCACATTGCTCGATTTTGATTTGCAATTTTCTTGAGGTCTTCAATAGCTTCATTTATTTTTGTGGTTCACTTTTCGATGTAATTAGCTTTGTTCGTATCTATCTTTTGTTCGAATTTAACAACTATAGGGTATTGTTTTATTAAGTCCATCGGCTATTAAAAGTTACAAAACGGTCATTCGCCTATAGAGTGTTACTTTGTTGAGTACTTCGACTATTAAATGCTACAAACTGGTCACCTGACTATTCATTATGTTCTAAACTCATCTTTTTTTCATTAAAAATAGATTATATTTTTTTTGCTCGACAAATATAATTTTTATTAATATAAACATAAAACAGAGTCAAAAAAGAATGCATCGTTAAAAACATCCCTAAGCCTAAACGGAGGAAAAATAGTACATTCTCCTCACAGAATAACAAAGAGACTACACGAAACAACAAAAACACCCATCAAACACAAATCTTGCAAATATCACTCCTGGTCAAAGAAATCACCAAAGCGCACGGCAATACCCATTCTGAATGCTCACCTATCTTCCGAATGATACATAGAATTATTTGGAATGAACCCCTGCCAAAACCTTTGCTTGTCCTTGTTCACAGTATGGTTCGGTTTGGCATCACACTAAAACCATAAGCTTGCTTGATCATTTTCTGAGCTGAACGTTAACTTATTGACCGTGATATGATAAAATTTGATCTTAAAATTTTAAATAACTATCATATCTCAGTCATCATGTTAACGTCCAGCTTAAACAATTTCTAATTTTTTAATAGAAAATGACGAGTCTAGAATATAATGAATAGTCAAGTGATTATTTTTTAACTTTTAATAGCTGAGAGACTCAACAAAACCACACTACATAGCCGAAGGGCCATTTTGTAACTTTTAATAATCGAAGAACCATTTTGTAACTTTTAATAATCGAAGAACCATTTTGTAACTTTTAATAATCGAAGAACCATTTTATAATTTTTAATAGTCGAAAGATCATTTTGTAATTTTAATAGTCGATGTACTTAATGAATCAGTATTCTATAGTTGTGACATTTGTGTTCTTTGTCCTAAACTAAATGCACGATTAAATTATTTTAAGGAAAAAATTTATAAAGTTAAAACATCAACATCAAACGTTGCATTCTTAAAGCAACCGGTGATTGTGAATTTTTTTAAGTAAGGTCAAGAGTTCGAATCCTGGCGATTAAGAATGGGGTAAACTGGGTTGGAAGGATTACATTTGTCTTTGCAGTATCCAATCCGAATTAGTTGATCAATAGATTGTATACCGATGATTATAAAAAAATGTTACATTCTTAAAGTGTATGTTTTCAAATTTAGCCTCCACATTTGTCATGTGTCCTTAAAGGCCCCATGGAGACACCTATTTACAGTAGGTGATTCAAATGACCATGCCACGTTGTGAATTTTTGAAGCTGCATGCGGTAGGGATGGCCGAGGGAGCAAGTGGGTGGGGTAATTATCCCCAAAAAAATTAAAATTATTATATTTTAAATTTTTTCTATGAATTTTATATTAAAACTCTATTTTCGCCTTCTAAAATATTGATTCACCCCTTTAATATAAAATCACGCATCCGTCTCTGCAACCCGACGTTTCTAAGACCACTTTTCTGCTAATAAAATAGCATGATCATGTCTAGCTGGACTCCACTTTTTTCAAGCGTTGTATAATGCAGAAATAATAATAATCAAGGAAAAACACATGTTTTTACTTTGAATTAAAAATAAATAAAAATATAATTATTTACTAATCAAATGTTACGAGAAAATATGTCACAACCAGATTTTTATTGGAGTTGATTTGAATTTAATTTTAATTAATTTTGGGATATTTTACAATTTTTTAGAAACAAGGCCTATTTTCGAAAAACCTGAAAGTTCAAGGACCCAACTTGGGATATTCCCCTTCCTTGGCTGCCAAAAAAAACCTTATTTTAACTTATTACATATGATGAGCCTTTTCCCCCGCCCCATGAATAATAAGTTTCTGAGAGCTGGACCCAAACCACCGCCCCCTTCGCCTTTCAGCCGCTTCCGACCAACGGTGGTGTGCACTGCCACCACCCACTACTCCGATGACCCTTTTGTGACTCTTATTTTCAATATCTTGAATCTGGTCCTCTGAACTTTTCCTCTGAACTATGAGCTTCTTGTCTGTTACCTGAAGAAATATATATAGAACTCTAACTCATCACGAAAACTTGTAAATGCATAAATCAATAAGGAAATTTTATTCTTCTTATTTATCTGCATGTCCTTCAGCATCACTTGGTAATTCTGTATTACTGAGCTCCCCAAAGCTCACTCTTTTACTCATCATTTCAGGTTAAAAAATCGATACAGTGCAACTATCGACTTCAGTAATGAGAGTTCATTTAGCTTGGCTTGCAGAGTACGGTACAAGCGTAAGTAGGCGCATGTAGGTCACATTTGATTTTTATACTGAGTCTGGAACTTGTATGATTTTAATTATGTTTGTAATATATGAATGGTTTTCTGAACTTGTGTTTTATTTATAAATTGTCTTATGATTTTACATGTTTCAACAAAAAATTTATTTTTTCCTGGATTTTTACTGAGTCGCTTTGATAGCCCTAATGTGACACCTCGGATCGGATCTGGTCGCTCGTATCGATATGAGGGTGTCACAATATAGGTCATGTTAGATTAGATTTTTGGTTCACCCGATTTCATCTGAGTATAATATTTTTTTCATCCATAGTTCAACTCGAATATTAGTATTCGAATCTCACTAATAGTTTCATTTAATGGCATTTCCTTTGATCCAGCTCTAACGAGATTCGAATGATAGAACAATAAGGACATATACACATGCATGCATGCATGGATCTAGGTGTCTGTATGTATACAAGGCTGAGAATATCAAATGCTTCTAAGCCTGTAATGTATATGTATACGTCTATGATACAATGGAGCATGGACCTTGGGGTTGGGATTGCATGTAATTCATCATTATGACAACAATGATAATGAATCTTGAAGCATATTACTTATTTGATTTTATTCCCTATCAATCGAGCTGGCAGATCTTCCTGCAAAAAAGAATTACTAAAGGTGGAGACTATGGCCATGGGTGAGCTGGCCAAGATAATTGGACAGATACTTGGAACGTCTTTTCCCTGATTATCAGATCATATATTATTGGCATCAAAACAACACAAGATCCTTATGCTTATATATATATGTATATATATGTACGGCACACCATACACATTACCCCATTATGATATATATATATATATATATATATATATAAGAGAGATAAGTTCCATGTATCTAATATTTCTATCATGTGATGAGCAGATGACCAATTAGATACACATGGAAGAGAGTCATACAATGCTGCAAAGAAGCTTGATTAGGAAAAGGAAAGTTGATCATGCTATGTTTATAATTCATCAATAAAGTTTGAATACCGTAATAAAACATGTCGTAATTCCGATGAAAGAATTTGGACTTTGAGTCTAAGAGAAAACATTATTAAGAAGATCAATCGTGATGTCTAAACATGAATACCGAAATGAACACGAAGATACCAAAAAATTATTCATAACATTCAACTTTTGTCATAAGTGAACTACTACGAATAATGACAAGCAACGTATTGCTTAAAGTCTCCACATTCACTACATATCCTCTATTTATCTTCAATTTTTTATTCTTTACCAAAGGATCACACCGAGAATTTTTCGAATCGGACCAAACATAATTCATGTCACAATCTTATTTACAGATCAAAAGCACGAAAACAAGTTGATTTCCTCAAATTAGAAGTCAGATGATGTCAATATATGCCAGTGGTGAAAGATCAACCAAACCCTATCAAACCTAAAATACAAAGCTAGTTTTGTTACTTCACCAGCTTTGGTAGTTCTTGTTGTAGCCTGGATATGTCGATGCTTGTTGGAGCAGTGACCTGGTGAAGTGAAATCCAATCAGTGGGTGAATCAAATCGGCTTTTTGATACAGAAACAAAACCTTAATTAAGTCCCAACATTATTAAGATTATAAGAATCCCACCTGGGTTTGGATGGTATGAAGTAAATATTCTTCTGATTTTGTGGAAACACAGCTGAAAACAGGCAGTCCTTCATCGACAAGCACAGACAACACTCTTGACAGGGGCAAATCTTGGTCTCCAACAGCACAACGAAACATAATCTCAATGCCTGTGAAGCATGGTCGGATTATGAAGCGGTGGTCTGAAGTGGTTTTGGTTGTTCCCGAGCCAACACTTGCCGGATTCGACACTCTCTTTAGTTGACGTCTCTTGGAATCAAGCTCCTTGACCTTCTTCTCCAAGTGTTTTATGTAATTCACCGCCTCGTTCATGTGATCCGAAATCGACCGCTTTCCCTGAAAACCCCAAAGGCCCAAACCAAAAAACAAGACCATAAATCAGACAAAAATGGCAATAAGAAGTAAGAACAATCACGTAAAATCTTAACCTGGTTTTAACTAAAGCTTAATTTGTTTACCTTGATATATTCACCGGGGAGAAGGTATCGAAGTGAAGCATACAGGGAAGCCATATCCTGTCTCCTTTGTCGTTCAATCTCCCTATGCAACTTTTGTTTCTTATATTTATCACAAGCGGCTAACCCTTCACCACCGCCGCCGCCGCCGCCTCTAGCCTCCATGCGACAGGCTTTCCTCCGCCGGCTTTTCCCCATGCTATTTGAAATTATAGGGTTGGTTTCCACTGCTGTATGGCCCGTGATCAGATCTTGTGGGATTTTGTGTGGGTTGGTAGTGGAGAAGATCTGGAACACCAGCTCATCGCTTTGTTGTAAAGGGAACATTATTTTCCAAAGATCAAAACGCCAGCTTTTCTTCTGTTGATCCCCAAAAGAAAAATGGAAGAGGACAAGTAGATCATATGTTAGTTAGGGCTTGTATCATTGTGAATGTTTGATGATCATTCTTTCTGCAATCATTTTTCTTTCTTTTTTTTTGGCTTGAAATAAATAAAAGCAAGGGTAAATTAAGTGTTTAAGTACCTAAACTATCAGTTTTGGTCCGGTATAGTACATAAACTTTCAACTTCTACAAAACCATACCTAAAGTTTAGTTTTTATTTCATTTTAGTACCCTCTTCAAAATTTAACGTTAAATTTTGAAAAGAAATTGAAATATTTGGTACTAAAACGGACCAAAACTGATAGTTTAGGTACTAAACGCGTTAAGTTTATAACACTGAGGTACTAAAACGAAATAAAAACTAAATATTACGTATGGTTTTGAAATAATTGAAAGTTAAATACTAAAAGGGATCAATACTTATAGTTTAAGTACTAAATGCGTAGTTTACCCTAAACGCAATCAATAAGAATGACCTCACCGGCCAGGGTTAAACCAAGTTTAAGTTACTCATGTAGTCCTATATTGTATCTGAATTATAGATTTAGCTCTCATACTCTAGTTTAATTATTTTTAGTCCTTATAAGCACAAACTGTAATATATACTTTGTTAAATGATTGCTAACAGTCTTTGTATTATGCATGAGTTGTATATTCAATTTATGTTATCTAATTTTGTCTTTTTGAATCACTATAATTTAATCATATCATCGACAACACGAACCAAATGGCCTCTGTGGTAAAGGTATTGTTGTCATTCCTTGAGGATCCGTATTCGAGTATCATAGATGCCAGGGGTGTGAGCCTTCAATGTCAAAAGTTTGCGAGTGTTATTTGAACAGATATTACCTTGTACTTACCCCAGATTAATAAAAAAAATCATATCATCAACAATTGTCGGATACAACAATAAAAAAATCCATCCTCTAGGGACTGATGACAAAATTTGACCTTAAATTAAAAGTTTTGTTGTACAAAAAGGAACCCCACTCACTTGCATTCACACAAGGTAGATCAATGCTTGACATCTGATGCTATCATCGATGAATAAAATATAATTAGAATGAGAAAGATGTGAATAAATAATTAAATACCAAAGAGATTACTTTCCAGTCGACTTTATGCGGTTTTTAGAGGATAACTTTTATTTAAATTAGTATAAATGTAGTATATAACACACGTTTATTTTATTATATTGTGTTGTCTTGTGAAGTTAATAAACAAACTAATATATATCACTCGTCATTCAATAAATATAATATGAAATCAGTGGTGGATCCATAAATATTTTTTACTATAGGCACACATAAGCTAGTAACACATAATTTTTGAATGGATAGGTACAAATAAAATTTTTAAGGTAGACACCGTTAGTAAAATAAAGAATTAACCAAAGAAAATTCATATTTCAGAGTGGACACTAAACCATACGTGGCTCCACGGCTGCATGAAATTGAAGTGTTGTAATGTATGATTAAGGGTTTCTCGAATTTTATTTTAAAATAAATTTTTATTTTTTAAATTAAGACAACATAAAAAGAAAAGAAGTGTTAATTATTGTATATATAGATACCAAACATACAAGAAAAATAATAAGGTTTAAGGGTACATGAAGGCTTCAATTTAAAATATAAAAAATAAAGTGTCATAATTTAGAATTGGGATGATAATTAAGGGTGTATAATGTAATTAAGTCTAATAATAATAATCATTGAAGTGATAGTTCATAGAGCAATTAAATAAACGGTCGGAAAAAAGAAGTGAAAGTTGGGGAACACCACCAACTGTATCGAGGGGTAAGATCTTCCGAATATATGAAGTAAGCGATTATTCCTTAAATTTTTTTTTTATAATTACTTGTACCTGATCTATTGATCGACTAAATCGGATCGGGTATTGCAGGAACAAAGACGACCTTTTCAACCAAATTTACTATAATGGTCAAGATTCGAACTTCTGACCATATTTAAAGGATCTAATGTCTCGTTCTACTAATCTGGATCGGGTCCTGCAGAGGCAGCGATTATTTTTTAAACTAATTTATAACACTTTAAAACATTTTAAGCTTGCATGATGGGCTGGCCAACAATTTGTTAATCTTCTTAATTATTATTAGTTATTCCATCTTAAGCCCTCCTTTTCATAAAAAAATAGTTGTAAATTTTTTTCATTTATAAAATTTCAGATTTTTTTTATATTTTAATTCATTTTGATTTTAAATTTAATACGATCTAATGTGATCACTTGAAACTAATAATATTTTAAAAAAAAGAGTAAACAATAAAATTATCGAGAAAAACGCAAGTTGTGTACCGTCAGGCCTCATCCTAATTTGTTTCGGCTTTAAAACGGCCCTCAAAATTGGTAAATATTGTTAAATTGATCCCTAAAATACTTTTGGGTCCAATTAGCCCATATAACTGAAAAAAGTTTGAAAATTTTATAATTCCGAAGACTTATTTAAATATCTTGTCCATGAATTCATTTTTATTAAAGTTTAATTCGACAAGGGTCAATTTGTTATATATAGATACAAAACGAAATATCGCCTAATTCGATATATGTCCTTTAAATTACCTTAAACATTGAAAAAGAATCGTTTGTGATTTTTCAAATAAAATCATGTCTGACATTTCTCGTGCTCAAACTTTTACTTAAAAAAACTCAAACAATCACGATTTTTTTATATAAATTCCCAAGTGATCCATAAACTCGAATCATATTCTATCTCTTGGCCATTTGACATTAAAATTGAACACTCACCACCCTTGACATTTCTCGTGCTCGAATCTAAGACTTCAAGGATTAACAACAATTTCTAGAGGCGGAGCACCGTTGGGGCCCAAAGGTACCCCGACCCCTGTAAAAAATTTATATGTTCGATAGATTTTGGTCTAATAGTATTTTGGTTCATGTAAAAGTAAGCATTCAAATTTTAAAAATATTAATATTTTATCAAGTTGGATCCGAATTAAAGAAAGATAATCCCATATTCTCAAAATATTTGGTTTAATAACAATTTAAGTCATTATAAGTTTAAATATTAGACAAATTAAGTATTCTCTTATGAATTTTAAGTTTTTTTATTAATCTAGGGTGAGTACATCAATCATTTGACATTGAACGCTTACACCCTAGCATTCCTGATACTTGAACTCGGTACCTCAAAGAATAATAACAATTATTTTACTACTTAGATTGCTTGGTTTGTCCTTAAATTTAAATACCTAATAACACATTTTACTTTTTCTTAAAAACTTTAATATTTTTACCCTGCCAATATTTAATTCTGGTTTCGTCTCTGATAATTTCTACTACTAAGATCGTTTGGTTCGTGTTCCGCCTAGCTCCTTCTTCTCTTCCCAAAAGCAATAATTGTTATTTGTTAGCCATGCTGTTTCCCATGTGGACGGAAAGTTGGAAATGAATTGACTGACAGATTGCAATTTGATCCAACTTTAACATACTCATCAAACCTAATGAACACCCTTCACCGTCGTCTAATTGAAGCATACTTTTTTGTCAAATTACGTGATTAATCCTCATATTAGCATAAATTACAAATTTAATTTTATATTTGATATTTTAATCCAAGAAACTATTTATTCATGATTTTGCTTAATCTATTGATAAGGTAAAGACTAAGAACCCGAATCTTATTACTGTTGTTAGTCATGGACAAATTAAAGAGAAAATAATCTCAGTAACCGAAAATGCCTTATAATATACGATTTTAATCAATTTTTTTTGGATTTCCCAAAATGACCAACAAAATCACAACGCGAATTCTAATTTTTCAACTCAGTTTCTAAATTCGCAACTCGATTGTAAGATTCACAACGCGATTTTGAAAAATATGTTGCGATAGTTAAAATGTGTTGCGATAGTTAAAATGTGTTGCGATAGTTTGAAAAACGTGTTGTTGCGATAGTGAAAAAATGTTGCGATAATGAAAAATCCAAAATAAGTTTACATTTTAACTATTCCAAGTTCACGTGGAGTTTAAAACAATAAAGAATGTGTTGCGATAGTGTAAAAGATTTCAAAGCCATTTGTAAGATCTTAGTTTGAAACAATAAAGAATGTATTGTGATAGTGTAAAAGACTCCCAAGTATTTGCAATACTAAATCCCATATAGTATTGGAAACACTATTGGAAATGAGTATTTAAGGCTTGGATTTCTCACTTTCTTGTTCAGTGGAAGAGAACAAGGGGGACTCTCGCGCACCGCCGCCGTCCCGTCTCGGGTCGGGTCGTGGTCATACGTGTCTTCGACAAGTCCGCGCAGATACTATTTTTTTAGAGAAAATTCTTAAAAAACAAATACAATACCACCGGTCGTTGCGATTTTCAAAAATCGCAACGCGAACTTAGACTATCGTAACGAATTTGGAAAATCGCAACGCGATCTTCGACTATTGCAACGAATTTGAACTAATGTAAATTTGAAAAATCGCATTACGATTTTGTATTATCGCATTGTGATAGTCAGAGATTTTGTATTATCGCGTTGCGATAGTCAGGATCACGTTACGAATATGAAAACTGATTTGCGATACTGTAGATCGCGTTGCAATTTAGAGATCGCATTGCGATTTTATTGATCATTTTGACAAATCGAAACAAAATTTGTCAAAATCGTATATTATAAGACATTTTTGGTCACTGAGGTTATTTTCTCCAAATTAAAATACAGGACCAAACAAGTAATTTATGTGTAGTACAGATGCGGATGGGAAAATTGTCTTTTCTGGCCCTTTTCTTGCCTAACATAACTGAAAGCTAATATGTCCGGGATTGCATTGATTGACGGCCTAAACTAACGGCCATACTATTAATGTTGCATTTCATGAATGCTGATGGGTTATATGAACAATACAGGAAAACAGCGGCATTTAATATGCACAATTTGCAGCTTTTAAATCTTTTGGGGTCAAACCAACAATCATGTTGGAGCCATGAATGATCATGCCTAGGGTAGATCCCCTTTATTTCTCTAACCAATTCTCTTCAATGCAACGGCTCGAGTAAAATTCGATTCGACTCGATTAAAAACAAAACCGGATAACAAAGGCATGTGAAAGGAACTTGGAAAACATTGAATCTTTCAAATAATTTACTGTGATTCTATTTACAGTGATCGTCCACAAAGATGAATGATATGAAACAGTGAACTAACAGCAACAAGCTAATGTTAACTGACGAAAAGAACTCACCGGACCTTCTTACGAGACTTGAATGGATATCGGGATGGCGGAGAAGGGGAGAATTCCGTTGGTAGTTGAGGCGGCTCTGCTTCACCGGTGAGCATGCCAACGACTTCCTTCATTGAAGGTCGACGATGAGGTAATTTTTGCAAGCAGAGCAAAGCAACTGTGATACACAAAAGGGCTTGTTCCCTATTCAAAGACTGTATACTCTGGTCAACCAGATCGATGAGCTTTCTGGTTCGGGCAAGACGCCGAGCCCACGAAATCAGATTGGCTCGCTGAAACTCAGACATAGGAGACCCAGTGACCTGCAGGGGTCGCCTCCCTGCTATCAGAACTAACAGAACAACCCCGAAACTGTAAACATCACACTTTTCTGATACATCACCACCGCCACCATATTCGGGGGCAACGTAGCAAACTGTTCCTCTCATACTGGGCGTACTGCTAGCACCGCCACTCTTGGCAATCTCCCCACTGAATGAATCGTAACTGTTCCGTCTAGCTCGACGTAGTTCGCCACTAAGCCCTTCCCATAACCAATCCACACTACCAACACTACCTTTATTCTTATTTCTTTTACTCCCCTTCTTCCTCTCCGAATACAATTCATCATCAACCGGCCACCAATTGTCCCCACCGCCACCATTACCTTCGCTATCAATCGCCCCTGCTGTCTCTTTTTCTTCTTCTTCTTCTTCTTTTTAGCGAGCTCTTCACAATACTCCTCTTTCCACCACTCCCTCGCCGGCCGTCGCTTCTCCTTCTTCACATTCTTTCCCTTGTCATCCTCCATCGACGCCCACCATTCCAACCGTTTCCTACTCCCTTTCTTCTTCTTCTCTGATTTAGCATTTGTTAAACTACTTGAAGACGCCACAGAAGCGATCCAATCACTATTAGGTCTCTCCTTGATCTCAGTCCCAATCCATTGCATTACGTAATCTTTCACTTTCCCACTCTCCAACGGAGCTGCCGCATTATCTTGCTTCCGCCACCAATCGCTTCCAGAACCGCTCTTTACCCCTTTCCCACCACTCTCCAAAACACTTAAATTCCCCTCTGAAACACTACCTTTCTCCATCATTTCAGGAGACACAGCAAGAGATTCCGGGGAAGCAGCAATCGTAACAGCCTCCGCATTCAGTGGTGATTCCGTGACCATAACCGAAACTGGCGATTGATCTACAGCCAAGCTGAACTCATCGATTCCAGTAGCTACACTCTCAGTTTCAGCTACAGATCCATAATCCTCAGCTATTTCCACTCTAATTTCCTCAGATTTCAACCTTGCTAGTCCGAAATCTGCAATTTTGGCTGAGAAATTCTGATCCAACAAAACGTTACTAGGCTTAATATCTCCATGGATTATTGGAGGATCCAATCCATGGAGATACTCGAGTCCCTTGGCGATATCGACAACAATCGAAAACCTCTGTTTCCAGTTCATTAATTCCGGGCATTTCCGATGAAGCAACGCGTCTTGCAGATTACCGTTCGGCATGAGCTCATAAACCAGGAGCATACGGCGTCGTTTCCGGTCGTAAGAGAATCCATGGACCGAGACGACGAGGGAAGAGTCGAGCTTGGAAGCGAAAAAGAGCTCGTTTTGGAATTCCCGTTCGCCCTGGAGCGAGCCGGCGTCCATCACCTTGACGGCGACGGCCTGGTTTCCGTTGTTGTTGTTGCTGTCGTTTCCATCGTGGTGGTTAGAGATGGTAGCGCGGTAGACGGAGCCAAATCCCCCCTGACCGAGGAGGCGAGAGGCGGAGAACGAGGAAGTGGCGCGACGGAGGATGGAATACGAGTACTGATGCGGCGGCTTGGAGTCGGCGGAGTTAGTACGTTGGCGCCGGATTTTGCGGAGGCACAGAGATAGAACCAATAAGAGCGAAAAGGAAGCGGAGACAGCCGCGACATGCGGGAAGATGAGTCGTGTGGGTAAAGGACTCTCATGGTACATCAACGGAGGTTGCTGCGACGGCGACGGCGACGGAAGCGGGGGGATCGATCCTCGCATTCTGAAACTACCCAAAACCCCCGGAAAGCAGACGAATTTACGAAGATATAATACGAAAAAAGTGGGGATCGAACATGAATTGGAATCTGGGTCGATTTTTTATCTCAAGCTCTGCAGGTTTTAATGGAAAAAGGAAGGAGCTTTGTGGGGGACGAAGTTGTTAGTTAACAATCAGCGTAATGATTTCTACTTGTTTTCAGTTCCGGCAATAAAAATGAAGAGACAAAGAGAGAAAAAAACCTGATGATTACAGCTCCATAAGAAACATCCGCTCCTCTCTTTTGAGTTGTAAACTCTACTCTCTCTTCATTCTTCTTTTTTCCAAGCAAAAACTGTCATCGACTTTGACCTCTCTGCCTATTTTAAGGAATACCGATATTTTCTAAATTAAAAAAAAGGGTAAAATGGTCATAATTTAAATTTTAAAATTACAAGGTAAATTACATAAATGGTCTTCTAACTATAGAATACTAATTTATTAATTCATACGCATTAGGAAAATTTATAAAGTGATTTCTAATTTATAGAATTAAGTCGTTTGACTATTAAAATTTATAAAATGGTTGTCCAACTTTTTAATATGCTCTAAATTCGTCTTTTTTCATTAAAAATTTGGTGGTTGTTTAAGCTGAACGTTAACATTATTATAAAAGGATACAAGTCATTTAAGATTTTAAAATCATATTTTATCATGTCACAGTCAATATATTAACATTCATCTGAAAATCATGTATATTTTTAATGGAAAAGACAAGTTTTGAATATAATAAATAGTCGAGGTGATAATTTTATAACTTTTTAATAATTGAAGGACTCAACAAATCAACACTTTATAATTGAAGAGTTGTTTTGTAACTTTTAATAGTCGAGTGATCTTTTATTTACTTTACCTAAATATATATAATACAATCAACTCTAAATAAATCATCTAAAGGGCAAAGCACTACTACTCAATATTATGATAATTGCTTGAAAGGAACTGATTACTACTCAATGTGGATGGGGAATTTTTTTTATCTTAATTGATCAATTCCATGCTATGAAAGTTATCTAACCAATTTGTTCATCGCTTTGATTTGAGTAAATTACGCATTTAGTATATAAACTATAAATTTTGGTTCGTTTTGGTACTTAAACTTTTAATTTTTTCAAAATCAAACTTAAAGCTTAGTTATTATTTTATTTTAGTACCCGCCGCTAAAAACTTTATTTTTTGTTTCATTTTAATACCACGTCCAATTTTAATGTTAAGTATTGAAAATTTTGAAAGTTTAAGTACTAAAATGGACCGAAATCTAAACTGATAGTTTATGCACTAAATGCATTAAGTTTTTAATGTCGAGATACTAAAATGAAATGAAAAATAAATATTATGTATGATTTTAGGATTTAAGGTTAGGTACTAAATACGTAGTTTACCCATTCAATTTTTACAATAACATTAAATTAATGGTTTGATTTATAATTAATCTGATTTATATGTACTTATTTGCACATAAACTTATGAAACAATGGAGAATTTTTAGAATCTATTGAATTGAAAGAAGAAGAAAAAAGTTGTAAAAGACAATGTTTTCCCTCCAAACTCATCCAAGCCAAGTCAAAACTATGAGCTTACATACAAAGCTATAACTTTAAATCGGAATACTTCCTACTTTTTCTTTTTATTTTAAAAAAATTTAAATTAATACCATGAATAAAATTAATTAAATAAGTGGGTTACTTTGTAAGTTATAAATATAAACTAATAAGTAATAGATTGAATATTGTTAATTATATTTATAAAAAAAAGGTAAAAATGCATCAGATGTCCTTGTACTTTTGAAAAAACTAATGTGATCATCGTATTATTTTTCCTCTCAAGGTGGTCTCTGACTCATAAAATAAACCCAATTTGACCTTTTGACCAACGTTTTTCGTCGTTGACTGTTAGACTAGTGCTGACGTAGTAGTCCACGATGCTAACATGGCAGTCCATTGTGATTGATAATGTGGCAGATGACATAATAGATGAGTTAAATTAACAACTCAAACATGACAGATGGATTGTCACGTTAGCACCGTGAATCAACATGTCAACACGGTAAACTACTGGTCAAATGACTACATTGAGTTTATTTTATGGGTTGGAGGGTCATATTGAGAGAAAAAATAATATGATGATCACATTATTTTTTTTCCTAAAAATACAGGACCTCTTATGTTTTTTTTTAATTAGAAAAAAGTGCGGTGAGTATACTTAATTTATTGTTTGTTATTTTCCTAACTTTCAAACGTTGAACCAGTTCATTTGGTTTGACATTTTCGTTCTCTTTCTATATTTTATTTATATAAAAATAAAAAAGATAATATTAATATTTTATTTATATAAAAATAAAAAGATATGCCTAATACACTTGGTAATAAAATAGTACAGCACGTTAATGCTATTTTATTTATGTCAAGTCGAATATGGCTAGCTGCAGTCCAATATCTGAAAGGATATTAAATGACATATGTTATCGACTATATAAAATATGAAACATGAATATGTCTGAGAAAATAATTTGAGTAACCTAAAATGTATTATAATATATTATTTTAATTATTTTTTTTATTTACAAAAATAATCAACGAATTCGTAAATTAATTTTGAATTCGTAACATAAAAGCCAATTTCACAACACAGTTTTCGAATTCACAACACAAAATTCTTTTTAATCACAACTCCAACACATGTCCCAAAGTTAAAGGTTTTCATCGGACCCATGTCTATTTTAGTCCCTTTTTTACCTTACTAGAAAAGCATGACAACTTTGTCTCAAAACCAGCCGCCACCTATATCTGTGTTCATCTTATTATTACAAATGGGTTTAATTCTTCTTTCTTTGTTTTTCGTTTTTTTGCACGAGTTTTTGTTTTTTGTTTGTTGCAGAGGTTTTATGAATGCGAATCAAGGGATGACCAATCCCCAGACGGATGCTTGTGTTCCTTTGGTTGATTCAATGTCACAAGATTCACAGGCTTTGAAGCAGGAGAGGATAAGGGGGGAAAGAGATGAGCTTGCAAAACAAATAAAGATGAACACAGATATAGGTGGCGACTGGTTTTGAGACAAAGTTGTCATGATTTTCTAGTAAGGTAAAAAAGGGGGCTAAAATAGACATGGGTCCAACGAAAACCTTAACTTTGGGACATGTGGTGAGTTGTGATAAAAAAAAATCGCCTTGCGAATTCAATTTATGTGTTACGAATTTTAAATTCGAGTTACGAATTCGAAAACTGTGTTACGAAATTGGCTTTCGTGGTGTGAATTCAAAATTGAGTTGCGAATTCGTTGGTTATTTTTGCAAATCCAAAAATAATTTGTTAAAATCGTATATTATAAAAACATTTTTTGTCACTCAAATTATTTTCTCGATAGGTTAATACCAATGTATTTGATCATACATTATTTTCCGACATCAAACCAGTGTCTTTGTCTTCTTAGGGTTTTAGTGGTTGGGAAGAGGTTGGCCTGGTCACCGTGCCCTGCTTGTCTCGTTGGTTCCACTTATGTTTTAGGATTTTCACCCATTGCTCTATAAGTGGGATCCAAAACATTACTTAACGACTTCTAAAAGATGCCGAATTATACGTCTTTGAAACGACGCCGTGACAATCGTAACGTTATTAGTTTGCGGGCATCCATGCATTTTGAGAGAAAACACGGAATGTTTCATATATTTTCATGAAAACTCAAGGTGATCTATTTGATTTACGATCATAATCGTAAATTAAGTAAATAATTAGAATAATTTCTTATAATCATTCAAACAAAACTAGTAATTTAAGATCGTAAGGATCATACGAGACAAGATTAAAAATCTAACCAAGAAACTCGAACAAAGATAGATACAAATAGATCTGATTGCATCGATAAATGAATCACAAAAGGGGATCAAACTATTGAAAGACCACCGACAAAATCACAAATCAGACTCGAGCAATGTGCAAAGCTATCCATGAACGTAAAACGGGTATCAAAATCCACTCCGAAGGTCCAAAGCATGAAATATCAAAAGGAAATCAGATAAGCGTTATCTTAATCAGTCGCGACGATGTCGAATCAACCCTTAGAAGAAGAAAAAATGACCAAACGATCGAAAAATATACCAAAAGACAAAAGAAAACATACTACAAAAGTATATAAAAACGTGTCATACATGCAAACTTATTAAGAATAAAAAAATATATATACCATGTAAAAAAGAAAAACAATAAAAAAATATTCCGACCGTCGGCAAACAACATTAAAATTAAAGTTGATACATATTATTAAAGAACTCAAATGGGTGCAAACTTTGACTTGATTGTTGACTTGATTGTTTGTTATTAAACCAATAATTTGTTGACCATCTCAAATAGTTTAGAAGTACTTATTTCTGGTTTATATCTTACACACGAACAATTTAGTAAGATGCCACGTGTGGACTGTCGGCATGAAGACATTGATTTCATACACTAGAAAATGAGGTCGGACCAATCGAATCTACAAAATGGAAAATGACAGCGGTCCTAAACTACTTATTTCTTTAATTTGATTCTGAAAGTTTTTATTCATATTAATCTAGATGTTTAATATTTTTCCTTTAATTTAACCATTAATTTTGATTATATAACATATTTTAGTTACTAAAGATCTAAATTCTACCGACGAGATTGTTTCAAATGGTAAGTAACTTGATATCGCTTAAGTAAGAATTCAGGTTCGAGTCTTTACATACGTAGAAAATCTATGTTGAAGGTTCACCCACCAAAACTAAGTATGCGACTCGAGTCGGTCTATATTAATCATAACGAAACCTTGAAAATCGAGTACAACCAAAAGAGATAAGATCTAAATTCTAAGATTAATACGAACATGCAAAAGTTTCACGGATGAAACTAGAAAAATATATGAACTCAAATATTAATCTAAACAAGAATTAAAAGATTAAATTAAATAGATAATATTTAGTTTTGTTTCACTTTAGTACCTCATTGTTAAAAATTTAACGCGTTTAGTACCTAAACTATCAATTTTGATATATTTTAGTATTTAAACTTTCATTTTTTAAAATCATACATAATATTTAGTTTTTGTTTCACTTTAGTACCTCATTGTTAAAAATTTAACGCGTTTAGTACCTAAACTATCAATTTTGATATATTTTAGTATTTAAACTTTCATTTTTTAAAATCATACATAATATTTAGTTTTTGTTTCACTTTAGTACCTCATTGTTAAAAATTTAACGTGTTTAGTACCTAAACTATCAATTTTAATCCGTTTTAATATCTAAACTTTTAGTTTT